GACTGGGGAAAGATCATGCTCACGGTTTTCTTCTTTTTTTTTAACGGCGTGGCGGGTTAGCGATCGATTAGGGGCGGGTTAGCGATGGGCGTGGTGGGTAGTGTTAAACACGAAATGATTAAGGACCATTAGATCTTGCTAATGAATGGGTGTGATTGTTTGGATCTGCCTCTCTCTTTTTTTATAGGGGTAGTAGATGATTTTCGTTAACAGATATTTTAGGCAATGGCATGGTGGGTAGTTAAAGCGTAAAACGCGTTTAGTATGCTCGAGGGATGTAAACCATCAGATTGCAGGTTTTGATAGATAGGATGATCTGGTTCTTCGCTCTTTCTTTCTTTTATAGTGGTAATAGATTTGTGTTGGCTTGAGTTCTAATTATATATGGTGTTGAGCTGCCTATTAGAGATTGTACTTGTTCTGAGTGTATAATTGACATGTTCAATGCGTGATTGTGGTGTGCATACATGTTTTGGACGGGTGTTAGCCGGTTGTAGTTGTGTGAGTCGCGTGGGAGCTCCTTTACCATGTTAAAACCATGGAATTGCCGCTATAACGTTCACATGAAGCGGCTCATGAAGCTCTCCCTTGCTCAGCTTGGCTCCTTGCTCCACTCGCTCGCTTAGTGTTTTTTCTCGTTCGGTCCACTGCTAGCTCAGAAGAAACCGATTATTATTTTTGTTCACTAGTCTTGAAAAAAAATCTTGAATTCTAAAAAATATTTTGAATTAGAAAAACCACAAATTTTAGAAAAATGTTTGCAAATTTAAAAAATATTTGTGGACTTCAAACAATGTTTTTTGAATTTGAAAAAGGTGCACAAATTTAAAAATGTTGATGAAATTTTTAAATAGTTGTGAATTTATTAATTACTCCCTCCGTCTCATAATATAATAGCGTTTGTAACACTACACTAGTGTCAAAACCACTCTTATATTATGAGACCGAGGGAGTATTAATGAATTTTAAAAATGTTCAATGTTCTTAATATTCTTTATAATTTAAATTGGGATAAAAGAAAATGTATCAAATAGTAAAATAAGAAATGAACCAAAATATTTTATTAAAACCGATAAAGAAAACATAGAGGACAAAGAAAAAGGAAATTCCCTCTTGCATTGTACCAGGCCTTATGGCCCCTCTATGCTTACTCAGCACACCAATTGTCTATGGAAGCTGAGGATCGTCACTAATAGTCCACACCCATCAGTGATGAAATCAATTTTGTAAAGTATTCCGTAACAGTGAAACTTGCTTCTTGTCGGCTAAGTCGTTGGTAAGCCATTTTCGAGCTTTCTTGGCCTGATCTTCATGTCAACACTGCGCTCTGGCATTGATATGTCACGGTCAAACCTTGGTGGGAAGGCGTTAGTTGAAAGATCTGAAAGGAAAGGAACGTGCGCGGCTTTAGTGCCAAGGCGACGCTGGCGGCGGTGATCATGCGCTACATTAAGGACGAAGCAGCATACCTGGCGCTAAGCACCTGTGTAATATAATGTCATGAGAGTAGCTTGATGTCTTTGTTCTGCCATTGCAATTACTGTCTCTCAAACTCTTCTTCTTAATCAATGAAATGGCAAATCTTTTGCCTCATTCCAAAATCTAATAATTGTCGGGATTTGGAGAGGGCCCGATGCCAGCGTGGAGCTAGCACCCTGCCAGGGTGCCAGGTCACATGACTGTCACGACTTGCCCCAAGGTCGACTGAACAATGTCTCAGAATGTTGGGAAACGTAGCATGCAATTTAAAAAATATCCTATGCTAACGCAAGATCCATCTAGGAGATGCATAGCAACGAGAGGAGGGGGAGTGTGTTCACGTACCCTCGTAGACCGAAAGCGAAAGCGTTTGACAACGCGGTTGATGTAGTCGAACTTCTTCTCGTTCCGACCGGTCAAGCACCAAACATATGTCACCTCCGAGTTCTGCACACGTTCAGCTCGATGACGTCCCTCGAACTCTTGATCCAGCAAAGTGTCGAGGGAGAGTTCCGTCAGCACGACGGCGTGGTGATGGTGATGGTGTAGTGGTCCGCGCAGGGCTTCGCCTAAGCACTACGTGAATATGACCGGAGGCGTAAACTGTGGAGGGGGGCGCCGCATACGGCTAACAATTATTG